TTTGTGTTAGAAATGTGATTTTAACCATGCTGATGACTGGCAATGGAGATGATAACCACATTTTAAGACTGGTTTAAATATGCTGAGGCTATATAAAGAAAAAAAACTTTACCAGCTAGTATGGGCTGGACACAGGTTTTCTTCTTTCAATTTCCCAATTTTAAGAAAGGTTAGGGTTAAGCTGAGGGCCTTCTAAATACAAGTTAAGCTATAAAAAGCACAAAGCATTCACATCTGCTATCTTTGAAACAGAGGAGGTGAGAAGTTTGGCATGTGTAGAATTGACTATATATTTAGTCTAGGCTGCTCCTGGGCACAAAATGCCTTTTAAAGGTTTAGCATGTGCCAAGAATATTAATATGGAGATGAAATCTATGGGTGGAGAAAGGTGGCAAACCTACTTGAATCACAGGATAAATTAGGGTTGTGATTGTCGGCTGATTCTACAACTTATTTGACTCGTAAGGAAAAGAGTTGCTTTAGCCTGCTGCAAAAGATTGTTGTAAGATATGTGTATAACCTAAGAAATCATGATTTGTGCTCCGAGGCATTCTGAGCAGAATATTAGAGTTTGGCCTGGCACAGCTCTCAACAACTGAGTGTTATGCTGCTATAATAACCACAGCTACCAAAATTTTCAACCAGAATTTCACCTTTGACTATATTGTGTTTCTAGGAGTTGAAGCTCCAACTAATTTGTCATGTACAACTTCTTTTAAAGCCTGGGTTTCCTTTGTGTTAGCCCTTTCCTCTGGTTGTGTCCAGGTGGACACTTCTTACAACCACCAATCAAAAGATACTATGCTGTTTTCCACTTTGTTTTCCTTAAGGCAGGAGTCTTCAAACTTGGCAACTTTAAGACTTGTGGACTTCAACTCCCAGAATTCCTCAGCCAGCCAGGGCTTCTGGAGGCCATCCCATTGTAAGGCTTATGAGGTGCAGCTGATATTAAGCTCTCTGTCCATATCATTATTTCTTGACTGACTTCTAGTAAAAAGAAGGTAGACCTGACAAGACTGAAGTGCTGTCCCTCTGATACTTAGTGGTCAGCATTCTCTTTCTGCAAATGCTCATAGGGAACCTCTAGAAAACAAGTGAGCAAGAATGCCAACGGCTTCCTCAGCTGATGCTCAGAATTAAACAGCCTTGGGAAGGTCTTCTTGTATCAGCAGATGTATCTGAAAAAGGATGAAATTTCAGTAACCCAACTGGACAAACCTAGCCCTTTTAAAGCTGGGAATTGGCATTAGCAACTACCTCTCACACTTCACCCCATGTCTGAATTTTAGGCAGCAGATTTTAGTTATTCTTACAGAATTTCTTGGAAACAGCATCCGCAAATGAAGACAAGGGAGTTTCAGGAGGAAAGAACAGCCAAGCTTGCATGCTGACTGCAGACATTCTCCTTCTCCAGGGAGGCTTACTTTAGAAGTTGTTGTACTGTCTGAATGGCATCCTTCTGCTTTCCTCTGCTTGGCAGAAGGATCTTCATGACTGTTCCAGATTACATCCACAAGGAGAAGAGTTAATTCAGTGGAGGCTGCCTAGATTGGCTTTAGCCAATCTAAATTATCAAATGTATTACATATTTAATTTAACATTGAAGATGTTGGATAAAATAGGATTTCAGTTCATCATGTGAATATTGTATCCTGATTTTACTAGCCAAACTGTCAAAAACCAGATATTATTAGTGGAACCCTTATTGTAGCAGACCAGTTCCTCCCATTGCAGTTTTGGAGTCTCACCGGCTCAAGGTTGACTTAGCCTTCCATCCTTCTGAGGTTGGTAAAATGAAGACCTGGATTGTTGGGGGCAATAGGCTGACTCTGTAAACCACTTAGAGAGGATGTAACGCACTGTGAAGTGGTGTATAGATCTAAGTGCTAAGTGCTATTGCTATTCTGATATTATCAAATAGAAAGCATAGTACAGCATGAAATATAAATTAGCAGGATGATGCACATCTTTGAAGGGCATTTCATCAAAACTTTGATCAAAGTGCTTCTTCAGAGCAAATATCTCTCCACTTTTAATCAAAGCAACCATGCTGTTTTAATAAAATTGATAACAGGGGTTTCCTGGGCATGTGCCACACATACAGAAGCCCAAAGTTTCTGACTGTGCTGGATTGGCCCTGACTTGACATTTCACTGAGTTAGGCAACAACTAGCTGCAGCTGAGGGTACAAGCTTATAAATTAAATCAATCTTCCCCAATCTGAGTGGCTCAGAATAACAGAGTTGGAAGGGACCTTGGAGGTCTTCTAGTTCAACCCCCTGCTCAAGCAGGAAACCCTATACCAGGGGTAGGCAACCTTGGCTCTTTTATGACTCGTGGACTTCAACTCCCAGAATTCCTGAGCCAGCCATGGGAGTTGAAGTCCACGAGTCATAAAAGAGCCAAGGTTGCCTACCCCTGCCCTATATCATTTCAGACAAATGGTTGTCCATTCTCTTCTTAAAAACTTCCAGTGTTGGAACACCCACAGCTTCTGGAGACAAGTCCATATCCTCCAGAAATATGGACTTTTAAGACCCAGAATTGTTACTAATAGCAGAGGAATTCTGGGACTGCATATCCAAAGAATATCTTGATTGGGGAAGATGAAATTGAAATTTGAAACTCAAAAGTAAAAATTCAGTTTTTAAAGCAGTGGCCTAAGATTCCTGATATTGAGATGTTGCAAAATGAAAGGCATAATCATAATCTAAGCATGAAGTCAAAGTATTGTGTAAATAACTAGCAAGTGTTTCCCAAAAAAAGAGAGAGTCTGGTTTGTTCTGATCTGTCTTATCTGGCAGACTTCGTTATTGCTGAATCTGTTTTTAGTGCTGCTACAAGAAATTGAATTCTTGAATTGGATTGAACCAACTAGCTTTGGTGCTCTACCTTAAGCATCCTTTGAAAGCAAGAAGCCTTCAGTTCAGTAGGATACCCTCCCCTCACAATAACTGCACTTCCATGGAAGGAAGCTCTGCATGCACTATGGCATCAGAAAGAATATTCAAGTTCTTCATGATAAACAGGAAAGCTGGTGGCTTTTATTTGGCTTCGGTCTATGCAAAGCAGTATGCAAAGGCTGTGAATCAACAAGAACAGTCATAGCCTTCAACTAAAAGTGCAGAGCTTGCAGCACCAAGATTAAAATTTCCCATCCCTCCCAGTAATTCCTATCCACTAGAAGATGTTTCTGTATTGCACTGACCTCTATGCTTTTTCTCCCTTCCATTCCTCTTTACTTTGTTATTATTTAAATTCTTGGAGATGGGGAAATAAAATATTGAACCCAGTTAAAATGTTTGACATTTTAACTTCCAACGATTTCAGTGGCGAGAAAGACAAACATGCGTTAAACTTTTCTACTGAGGGAACTCAAAGCTTCAGCCTTATTTGGAAACATGTTACCCTGTTACCTTTAGAGGACTTTCTTATAAGCTGACTCATTTCTCATTTTCCTTTATATGAAGGTTCCCCGGGCTAAAGCCTTATACAGCTACAGAGGACAAAATCCTGGAGAACTGAGATTCAACAAAGGAGACATCATTACATTGTACCGTCAACTAGATGAAAACTGGTATCTAGGAGAAATAAATAGGGTCAGCGGAGTTTTTCCAACAAACGCTGTGCAAATTATCAAACAGTTGCCACAGCTGCCACCACTGTGTCGAGCACTATATAATTTTAATCTGAAGTCCAAGAATAAAAACGAAAAACCAGACTGCCTGTCATTTCATAAGGTAAGTCCAGCACCCAGCCACCAAAACTGAAAATCTAATTTAAGAATGTCCAGTTACACTTATGATATGTACTTGATGATATGCAAAAAAAAAAAACCTGAAAGGAAACAATATAGGAGACATGCTTACTTGCTCAATCCTTTCCTAGATTTTTAAGGCATACAGTAATAGTGAGCTACCTTTTTAGTAATTATATCTCCATTTAAGTATTTATTTGTTTTGAAACAAAATCCACTTTTCATTTAAAATAATCTCACAGTAGAAGACAATGAAACAAAACAATTGTCAGTTGAGTGTTCTCCTCTATAGAGGTGGACCATCAATATGGCATCTTCACTGACCTGTCGCCTTTACATTCCACATCTCTATCCACTCCTACTACCTGGGGTCTTTGTGCTTTGATCAGGCATCAGTAAGCAGTAGGAACAGAATACTGTTTCCAGGTTTCTATTAGGACACAAGATACTGTATATGAAGAATTATATGCACGTTTTGCTGTTCCTTTCTGTCACTAAGTGCACTAAGAAGGAATTCAAGTGAATTTCCTTCCTCAAAGCCCTCATATCTTATGAAGACATAGCTTCTTCTCATATAGCTATCTTCGTCTTCATCATCATCATCATCAGGTCCCCAGTGTGTTATTTCTTCATTCTTATAATAGTTTCCTTAAACTATTTCTCAAACTATCCTTTCTTCGTTTCCTTTCTAGTTTTCCCCTTCTATATTGCTTACAGTGATTGCTAGCTGTACTATTGGGCTATCTATAAACAGATTCTACTACATTTGGCAAACCAGTTTGCAGAGACAGGAACAAAAAACTTTTCACACTAGTGATTTATTGTGCCACCCAACTATTGCTGGGGTGAGATGAAACCTGTCTATATCTGTGATATATTGCCACAGCAATGGTTGGATGACACTATAAATTGCTAGTGCAGAAATGCTGATTGTCATCCTGCAGCAGCCCACTGACCAATTCTGTGATGCAAATGAATGACACGACTGCCTCTCTCTGTATATCAACATTTCGTTACTCTTCTAATCTAAACAACTAAATATAACCATAACTGTAACCAACTGCTTCTTGTCAGCAATTTATTCTATATTTACCACATTAAATTTAGCTCGATCTTTAGCTTTGTAATATCATAGCCTGGGTAGATTTAATGTTGATAGTATACAATAATAGTATAGGTTTCAGCACAGCAAGTAGGTGTATCGGATGAAGCTTTGAAGGAAAATGGTTTACAGTGTACATCAGAAAACAGATGCTAGAGATTTCTAGCATCTTGTGGTATCATCCAACCCTCCCTGTGCTGATAGAATAGTACTGAAGACAGGCTTTTTTATTGCCAAAGCTATGGCTGATTTAGGCTAGAAGAGGGGTAGGCAACCTCGGCTCTTTTATGACTCAGTAATTCTGGGAGTTGAAGTCCATGAGTCATAAAAGAGCCAAGGTTGCCTACCCCTGGGCTAGAAGATGCTATAAATCATCAGTGAAAAAACAGAATACCTAGGCATCATGGAATCATCAGTGTCATCCCCTAAAGCACACTACATTTATCCTGTGAATATCTCTGTTGTTCCATTGCTCATAATAAGCATAAGTAACAGGGCCACCTAGGCATGAGTCTATAGCATCAGGTAGCTGACAAAAGATGCACATTGCAAGATAGAATAACAATGCGCCCAATGAGAAAGAAGGAGCAAGGTTTTTGTTTCAGATATAGGGGGGGGCAAAGTGAATAATGGGACAGGCTACACTTAAGCACATTCCTGTATTACTGCATTGAGATTACAGTGGAGCTGGCTGGTGAGAGAACTATAGGAACATGGTTCTGAACAGTTAGTTGTGATCATTGCCGGAAACATGGAAGAGCCAGCTGTGAGTGCCAGCTTTCACTGACGCATCTGCTGCTGCTCATTTCATCAATATAAACACTTTTTAAAAAAAAGACTTTCTACATCACTGCATGCACAATGAGGAATCACAGAGAGAGGCAATTTGTTTTGCTCACTGCAAACATTGCCTGGATTGCATGCCATCTGGTTTGGGGTCTTTTGCTTTTTTAAAAATGTTGCTGGAGACAAAGCTCATCTGCTTTTCTACACCTCTGTTAGAATGCTGGAATTTGGGGGTTTCATATAAAGCCCTTGTCATCTGGGCAAAAAGAAGGAAATGTATTGCCATTTCTATGGCTGAGGACAGATTGGTAGGTGATGAAAAGTGGTTTGCCCTGCCACTGTCAAGGTTTATCTGTTTTCCTGTCATTTTCAAGGCTTCAGCACTTGGTTCTTGGTTCTTGAAACTCCTCTCCTCCCTTCTTTCCTCCTCCTCCTCCTCCTCCTCCTCCTCCACCTCCTCCTCCTCCTCCCACTCGTCTGTCTTCTCCACTAATCATTGATTTCAAAACAAGATATTTAGATCTAAAAGGGTAGTATCTTTAAGCGGTTCTTAAAAGTCCTGCAACAGGGGAAGGAGGGCTATTGGAGTATTCTTTCTTTCACAGTCCTCATTCAACATACTTCTACTATCACAAGTATTCATTATAAGCACATTTGTTGTTGTTGTTTTCAGTTCTTCTCTTTCAACATATAAGCTGTCCCATGCAAATCTCAAAAATAGTCCTAAAATAGTATTCAGCTCACTTCAGCTTCATCATACATCATTTCATCATGTTTTCCTTACCCTCTTATAAACATCTTTGTTTAGACTTCACACATTTCAAAAATATTTGTTTCAATTTTCGTCAGAATCGTTCTGCATTTTCTCTGCATCTTTACACCTTAACTATTCCTTTTTTCTTTGACTACATTCTCTCTCTATTTATCTATCTTTGCCTTCGTGTGTGTGTGTGTGTGCGTGTTATTTTTCCTTCAGTCTCATTATTCATTAATCATATTAATCATTCTCTTTTACTTCATCATTCCACCTTGCAACCTTTGTCCTGTTTCCCATAGAGTAACTCCACATACTTCTGCAGCATTCTGTACCACAATCCTTTTTACTCACATCCAAGTAGCTTCTGCATCACCATCTCTCCTTGAATTCATTTTCCATTCATTCAGCTGGTAGCTAAATGTATCTTGTTTATGTTAAAATATTGAGGAGTGTGATGTGCTGAAAGGTTCAAATATTTTTTCCCTTCATGCACATATGTTAGAATTGTTTTGAGAAATACCAATCTACTTGTTAATACGGTTGAGATTTTTTTAAAAAGAAAAATAGTACAACTACTTTGATATATTTGACCAAAAGGAAAGAGCTTCATAAAGATCACATGGGGAAAAAATTAAGGGTCTTCTTAATTTTACACACATAGTGTAGGCAACGTTTCATATTTTAATGGCTTACAAACCAAGTTGATATAATTTATCTTTCACTGTAATGCAGTAAACCACAGATCCCCTATCAAGCATAAGCAACTACCCTGGTTAGTCTTTATGTTTATTATCTTTCAGGGTGATATAATCACTATAATCAGTCGAATGGATGAGAATTGGGCAGAGGGAAAGTTGGGGGACAGAACAGGAATTTTTCCCATCTTGTTTGTGGAGGTAAGAACAATTTATTGAATGTACTATGAATATACACCCGCACCACACAATCTCACAGAATGTTCTTTGTCAGCACATTTGATCGTGGCTTGCGATTTCAGTCTTGAGAAAAAAATTCGCCTTGAAATCCATTAGATGGTTGTTTAAAGCAAGCTAACATACCCATCAAATGATAGACAACCGGAAATTAAGAGAGATCTGAAGCCTCTCTAGTATGGTATTAGAAGTAGTGAGTGGGACAAAATAATCTTGCCTTTAAAAGTTCAGAGTATGTTCTGTGTATAGCCAATGCTATTAAAGGAGCTAAGGTTGGTAATAATGGACTCATCGGGGTATATATGTGTATGTGAGTGTGTGTGTGTAGAGAGACTCAAGCTCACCACTAATGAGACTAAGTGGCTATGGATCTTATGATCACCCAGAACTTTGCTATCTTTAATTCTCCATTCAAAGTTAATGCACAATTTGAGAGTTTTTCTGAACTTACAGCTCCTGCTGAAGCATCAAGTAGCAGTGGTAGCCAGGAAGGCCTTCTCACTGATTTATCTTTTCCACCAATTGCCTATTTCTGCATTCGAAAGCCTTCTAGACAGTGTCAGGCTATCTTTGAAAGCCATTCAGACGCTGCAGTTGGCCCACCATAAGCATGTGATGATATACCCATGTACACATCTCTATTGTATGACTACGGTGGTCACCTGTAAGCTTACAGGTACATTTCATGGTGCTGGATATCACCTTTAGGTCATAAGGCCTCATTATCTAGAAACCATCTGTCTCCTACATTTCTGCTCATCCTATTCATTCCAGCAGAATTGATATGTTTCAGGTCCCATAGATTAAACTCTGCCATCTGTTGAAACTTAGAATATGATCTTTCTCTGTCCCAGCTTCTGCTCTATGAAACAACACAGACGCAGACCCCAAGATTCATATGTATCCTCCTTGGCCTCATTCAAACAAGCATTTAAAACTCTGGGTTAAATTGTACGATGGCACTTTCTGAGAATGGTATACATTAAGGGGGTGTTACTTTTATTCTTTCTGAATGCTTCACTATCCTTTTATTGTTACTGTTATGTTAATTTATTTTTTTTAATATTGTATGCCACTCAGCAACCCTAGAGAGTTGAACGGCTTTGCAAATTTCATAAAACATCAATAAGATTGTTAAATAAGCTATGACTTAGCACTGTGTGTAGACCCAATCAGTAATGCCATTCCACATGTTGCTAGAGATAACTACTCAAGCAGTTCCTGGAGTTTCAGTTCTGCAACTTAAAATCTTTGGGTTGCTATCAACCAAGTCACATCTCTTTTCTCCCTCCTGTTCTTTTTCCAGCCAAATGCAACAGCACAGCAACTTCTTCAAAGGAGCAAAAGTTACCAGTCTTCTCCCCTGAAATGTGCTTCTCCTTTACAAAGGTTCTTACCTAGATCAAAAGGTGTAGAGTCACCCACTTTCTGCAAGGGATCTGAATCTAGAAGGAAGACGATGAGACAGTTCTCTATTACAACTGCCCTAAATACCCTCAACAGGATGGTCCATTCACCCACAGGAAGGCAGACTTTGGATATCAGCTCTCCTGTGCTCATCAGTTCTAGCAACCCTTGTGTGACTGCAAAGCACCAAGAGAAATTAGAAGCCCCATATAACATACCAGACCAGGTAAATGCGTAGCTTTTCCTTTTCTTTCATGATTTTTGTTCTTTCTTTTTTCCATTATCTCTATTGTATGCTGCTCATAAGGAAAAGATAAGTGAACAAACAATACACTTAAGAGTAGGCAATCTAAGGATATGTTTTTGATTACCAGGCAGCAAATTGAAAATCAAACTTTATCTGCCACGGAAGGAGGGATTAATTCTGGCTTCTAAAAAATTCTCTCTCACGCTCTGCTATGCAACAGATGAAAGAAGCTGGGGCCAACTCATCGGATTATCTCAAATGAGGACATAGTTCATTGTTATAGTTTAATTTAGTCTTCACCAAAGTTTATGCATCAAGTTATTTTTTTATTTGTAAAACGTCTGAGCATTCTTTCCAATTTAAAGTGCTCGAAATGGTAAACAAAAAGGCAATGAAATGGATTGAAATGAAGTCACATAGTTTAATAAAATCAAAAAGCAAAACCAAAGATTAAAAAAAATGAATACAAAAATAAAAATGAAATGCCAATACAAATCATCATCTATTGGTGGAATAAACAGCCAGGGTAGTAATCCTAAACCCAGAAACTTTCTAGAGCAGAAGAGGGTCCTCTACATCTAGTCCATGACCCTCCCCCCTTTTTGGTGGAGGGACGTTTGGGCCCTTATACCCCTAGCAGTAGCACCAAAATTTATCTGCAAACTGATAAATAATGAGTGCATAATTTTATGATTTTATGCAGGAAAAAAATCCAAGTACTATAAATGTCAGAAATCTACAACAAAATAAATAGGGTTATTAATGCCTGATATCCCCTATAGGACAGTGATGCAAAAATTTACTATGATGTCCTACCACTGCTGTGCAGTCATAGCCGTTGGCTGCAAGAGGTTTAACCTTCTCTATTCTAGAGAATAGATACTATTTCTAAGAAGGTTTTGGTGTGTGTTCTCTATAGCTCACATAAGTAATGCAAAGAATGGTTTTATTCATTTGATAACTTGAAAAGAAGTTATTGTATATGGTGCTATATTTTTCATAACTATGTGCGCTATTTTCCAAATTAATCAAGAATTTTGCACAAACTGTACAAAAAATAGATAATTTACAAGGCAATCTCCTGAATTTATAAAAATATTTTTTTTCATAATAAAAAGTACTAGTCAATATATCCCATTAGCTTATCATTTGGTTATTTGTTAGGGTAGATGTACTAAACCATTAGACTACCCATCTCCTTAGTTCTTAGGTCACTGAATCAGCATATTATATACTAAAATTACCTAATTCATTCCAGAAATTGCATAAGAATAAGATCAGTAGTATCAACTGTTAAGTTCCCTGATTTGGAATTTTATTTAAAAAGGCCATAATTACAAATGACTAAGATTGCTCTGAATTAGTTTTTACTACCTGTTTATCCTTCCAACTCTACAAAACTTCAATGGACATGAATATCAAATAGCAAAATAGTGTTTTATACATACTATTTTACACATACATATTCTCTAAGTCTTGCAGAATCAGCTCACCTTTTTGGAGCTACATAGAAAGTTTACTTGACTATAAACAGTGACATTAACAAACACAAGGGCTACTCATTCTTCTGTATCAGCACTGAGATTTAATTCTTAAAACCAGCAAGCAATGTTAATGAAGATTAAAGAGTGTTGAGATATATATCAGACCAAGCAGTAAAATGCAGAAAAGTAAATCACTAGCATTAAGCCTCTCTGTAAGACACAAAGTCTCTTCCAAAATAAGGCAGTTTCTTTGCTCATATTAACATGGAAAGATCTGTGTCATGAGTCTTTAAAGCCACCACCGAGTCAGGGTGGCTTCCTGCATATTTGTTACTCAGCAAGATACAGAAGAATGGAAAGAGACAGAAAAGATCTTTGAAACAAGCCAATCCAGTAGGGAAGCATTTGTTTGTCAGAGCTGGTAGCTGCACTTAGCCAGACTTGACTGATGTGATCTATGTTCAGATTTGTTCAGAAATTAGCAGGAAACCCCAAAGAGTCAACTAAAGTGAGAAGCTGGGAAAAAAAATCCTGTAAGAGAACAGTGCCAAATCACTTCATATTGTTAGCAAGGGTCAAACTCAGCTGACCTCAGACTTTCATTGCCTTATTTGTCTATTTGATCTTTTCTACTTTCCCCGAACATAAGTTCCAGGATAGGTTTAGAGCACTCTTTTGCTTAAAAAGTGGGACCTGTGGAGATTAAAGGGATTATTTCCAGAAGTTGAGGAAGAAGGATTGGAGGATGCAAGTAGCAGGTAGATTGGCAATTAAGAATGGAGGGGAAATCATTAGTTACCACTGAGCGGAGCTCCACATTGAGTGGTGGTTGCTTGGTTAAATGTTGCTATCTTGACTAAGAAATACAGAATGCAGATCTGGATATACTAGTAGAATTTGGGTCATCAGCAATAGGTTAGCCAGATATTCTGCCCCTCAGTTGTTTTGGAGCAGTTCCCTCAACCCATTGCCTCAAAATGGCATTTGCCCTATTACTTTAAAGGAGAAATGGATCCTTTTAATTAGCTCCCAATCCATAAATGGGTATTGTTTAGGGTAAATAGTAAATATACTTAGTAAAAGATGTATTAACAAACCGAGTAACAGGGAATGAAAACTAGCTCATTACTGAAAACAAATAATAGTCTAAGGCTCCTTGTAGAGTCGGCATAAAGACACATCATTTTCTTACAGCCAGAGGCTGCTGAGAATGTGAGAAATGATGTCAGAACATTATCAGAGTTTGCAAGCTCCAAGTCCTTTTTTTTTTTTTTTTTTTTGAGATGGAGGGATTAAGACGCAATATATAATTATCCCAATTGGGAAGATTGTAGAGTTTAAGGGCTAAACTGTGTTCCTTAGATTGCACCTTAACTTCCCCCAAACCTTTAAAATAATTCTTCCTCTTATATTCCAGAGATTTCAAGCCATAAAATAAGCTAGGGATGCATGCCATCTGTAGGACATGGGGTTGTTCACTTGCATATATAGTATATATATATCCTTGCTTATGCTTGCATTGTTTGCCTATTTTTACATCCGTCATATATTAACCGGTTATTTCTCTGATAATTTCCAACTATTTCCCTGTTGTTTTTCAATTGCAGCTTGTAGTTTTATGCTATGCTAATCTTGATGCAAACTACTTAAATGCACACAATAATTTACATCATTTCCAAGCTTAATCACGCCAAATGATTCAATATAAAGATCCCAATAGAAAAGAATATGTGTGGCTCAGAGTTGAACTATGAAGTTCTTGGTCCTCTCAAAGATTTGTTGTTTGCTTGCAGATGTTTCAGTACCCAACTAGGTAACATTATCAGTGTAAGTGAATGTGGGATTTGCTCCCTGTTTATGTACAGTGGCTTGCCCTGCCAATGTTGGTGGGGGTGTGATTTTCTTCTTGGTAGTTTCTTAATTAAGGTAATGTTCTCTGCTGGATTGTTTGTCTGGTATTAATCCCCGCTTGTCTGGGTGTGGGCTGGTGGAAAGGCATATATTTTTGTTTGTATATATTTTGACTATTAGAGTTATGAAAATATCTAAAAAAGCTATTTATATTTATAGAAATAATATCAGGACCCCAAAAACAAGAAAGACATGTAGAGTTACTTCAGAGCAGTTTCCTTTATTGTTCTTAAACTATCTTGCAAAGCTACAGCAATTGCTTGCATCATTAAAGATATACTCTGAGAATCTCTGGGGAAGAAAATTCTTAATTTTCTTTCTCCCAATCAAGAGATCAGTCTTGATTCTCTGGAATGCAGCCCCTCCCTTCTTGGAATCCACAACATATTCCACCACAATAGCCATTTCTATTTCAATATATTTCCATACATCTTGTCATTATAATATAAAGAATTCCTTCAGGTATACTAAAATTGAGGACTCTGGTTCGTTATTGCCATTTATCATTTTTAGGAGATAATGTCCTCTAAATAATGTAATGGGCATTCTCTCTGACCAAAAGGCATTTGAAAGCAAGGTAACATCAGCCTTGGGATGCCTGACAAGAATAATAATAATTAAAAAAACATTGATAACATGTTGATGGTGAGAGATAGTGATATCTGAGCCAAACACAACAGGATAATGAAGATAAACTAATCACATACTTGAGAAGATATCAGGATAACCAAATAAACAGACAAACTCATGTTACAGAAGGTCTATTTATGAGACATTTACAGACCTCAGACAGAGCGTGATTCCTGAAGATAAGTTACAGAAAAATGTAAACACTATCTGCAGTGTTCCAAAATTCCAAAACTATCAAGGAATGAGGGGACCCTGAGGCTGACTAACTCTTCAGTTCAATGTTGCAAATGTCTCTGGAGTCTGAGACTGCTGACTTTTGAATCCTCTGGGAATGGACAGAGTAACAACAAGATGTTTTGTAGAACAGGGGTCCCCAACCCCTGGTCTGTGGAATGGCACTGGGCCATGACATGACACAAACTGGGCCGTGCAAACAGGCAAAGACCCATCTGTGAGATGCAGGAAATATGCGAAACCATGCCCTCTCTCATCCACAGAAAAACCTCTCTCCACAGAACCGGTCCCTGGTGCCCAAAAGGTTGGGGGCCACTGTTGTAGAAACTAATGGAGAAAATGACTACACTGAGTCAATGTCCCTCCTCCTCTCCTCCCTCAGTATTATTTAGGGAGGTTGATACTATCTTATTCTCTTCCCTCCTCATAAATGCAATGGGCTTCATAGGGAAATAAATGAATAGGTAAAATCAACTGCCTTCCAAAGAGGCACAAGGCAACAGTCCAGAATCTAGTTTTCAATAAACTGCATTTATTGTTTATATGATTGTAAGCAAATGTTACGGACAGGGAAGGAAAATTTAGGAGACACTCATAATACCTATTATATATTATGATTAATCACCCTCAAAATTGCTTGTACTTACAAAAAGGGTCACAAGATCATAATGTGTACTTGTGTTGCTTCTGAGTGCATATGTACGCACACTAAACTCTCTG